AATGCTTCTTCTGGGATCTTGTGCTGTAGCACCCAAAGACCCTATTTCTACTTGCACTTTATGTACATTTCTAAACAAATGAATCTCTGTGAATTATTCTTTTGTAGTAGCTTATGCTTAGTTGTACATGTAAATGAACCTATTTCTATGAAAATGGAAACCACATTTTGAAAGGATCATATAAATGATGAGATTAGATATAGAGTTGTGACTTATCATCAATACTGTATGTCATTTCCCACTGTTGACTGAGCATTATAAGGGCTTTCTGCACTGATCTCTCATTGCTTATTTTTAGTTAAATAAAAATAGATAATTGAAAAAATTGAATGAGTTTCCCCTTTTAGAACATCTGCCAACATGACTTCGGATATACTTTTGTTATGAGGTGAATTTTGAATAACTAGGGAAAATCATTTTGAGATTTCATTGTGAAGAGAGTCACCAAAGGGAAGACAATATTTATACCGTAGAAGCGGAATGTTCTGTTTTCAGTATATTATTTTTTTCTTTGTTTTAAATTGTATAAGAAGATAATCTGTTTTTACAAAAAAAAAGTAATTAACACCAAGGAAACCAAAAAAACTTATCAAAACTTATCACTATCCTACGTCCCTAAAACTTCTTCTTGACTAATGAAGCAATTGCCAAATTTGCAAGACCAAGGCCTTCATTACCTTTAATAGGAAGCCCTCAGCTGCTCCTAGAGAGAGTTTAGCCCCAGTGAGGACACCGCATCCTATAAAATGATGTTCTCTCCTCTATTGCAACAGACTGCTAAACTGAAAATCAATCAGCTCATTTGGTTTTGTGATGGAGAGAGTTTTCTTATCTGTTCTTCCCCCTTTCCCTGCAGATGGCAGCACTTGCCCTAGACTTCCCATTTACCAAGACAAGCTTTGATGGCTTAATTGTAGTTAGAAGTGATAGTAATATTAATTTGACGGTGGTGATATTGAGAAGGATGATAATGGAATTAATATTAATAATGAAATGATTATAATGATATAATAATAAAATAATAATAATAATAATAATAATAATAATAATAATAATAATAATAATAATAATGTTGAAAAAATCCAAAGCATTTTTTAATTATTTTCACTAATAGTCTTGTCCATTTGTTACTTTAATGATTTTTCCAATTTGCGTATAGCTTGATAAAATGCCATAGTTAGATTGCCTAGCAAGGTGGTGAAACACAGCAAATGAGGAATTTATTTCATAAAAAAATTATGATAGAATGATCAATCAATACAGCATATGCACATTCTTTTGATTTAGGTTCAAGTTATAAAAGTTGCATGAGGCAATAACAAGATTTTTATCTCTCCATGTTTTTTCTATAAATTAAATTTGTTCACCCACCATATTTTACTAGCAAACACATTGATTAAATAATTTGTTCTCAAATAGTTTTCCATCTGTTCAGTTTCTCCATTAGTGTGCTTAGGTCAATAAATAGCCATGTATATGCTGAAATGGAATGTCAATTCTTGCATCTTTCACTGATAAATCAAAATAAAAAGGATATTGTTAAAATTTATTCAGTATAATTATGCTTTTTTACCTATGTTTTTTTTTTTTTTTTTTTTTTTTTTTTTTTTTTTTTTTTTTTTTTTTTTTTTTTTTTACCTAGTTGTACTTTTTATATTCTCTTCTTGGAGGAGAAAAATGAAGAAAAAAAAAAGATTTTCATTGACTTAAAAAGTAGTTTGCTGATATTAATACGGTACATTGCCAGGTACAAGATTGGTTATTGACAATTTTTTAGATGTTTTGTATAACTTTCTTGTAAAAAAAACAGCAATTGAGAGATATACCAGTAATCAATTGATAATTGATAAGCAGCATAACTGATGACTAACACACACACACACACACACACACACACACACACACACACACACACACACACACACACACACACACACAATTTAAAGTGGGTGATATTTTATTGACTATATGGAATCAGTGATGTCTCTCTTTACTAAAATGTCTCCTATAATCCAAAAATCAAAAGAAAAAAGATTTAGATGAAAATGTCAAAAGCTCATTAAATTGGACATCATGATTTTGATAATGTTGAATTAAAATATGTCTTTATTTGTTTATTTATTTATTTATTTATTTATTTTAGGAGACAGTTCTCTTTTTGTTTTAATTTATAATTATTTTTTATGTATTTTATCCACAGACCAGTTTCAGTAAAAAGAACATTATAAACCCACAGCCTACTCCACTATAGGTGAGTGGTGTGCCATGCAGCAAAGTCATTCAGATCGTAGTATGCTAGTACAGGCCTATAGCCAGCAATTTCACAGGTGGGGGGTAAGGGTTCTGAAAAAAAAAGGGACCTTTTACCATTATACCTTCATGTATCAGGATATCCATGGCGAAACCTTTTTCCAGCAAAAAGGGTGGTTAGTTCAAACCTCCAGAACCCCTCTCTCCCCCAGAAATAGGCCTGCAGTGATTTCCGTTTCTGTCATATTTTCCTAGAAGACTTACTGTTATAGGAGGGAGGGATGTAATTGAAATGTGCACTACAGCACACGGCAGATTAGGTTGGAGACAAGGAACACTGCACAGCTCCAGGGGTTTGTCAAGCGTGCACAATGATATGAGAACAATAACGTCTTGAGAGACGGAGATAAGAAAGTGCAATATTTTACGCCATAGTGGAATTAGGTTTAGGATCCAGTAGCAGTTATTATGAGTGACGTTATATGTGTATAGATACAGTCAACTGAATGGTAGCAGATTGTGACTGAAAGCACTTAACACTTAACTAGTATACATCAGGAGTTTTTTTTTGTTTTTTTTTCATCTCTCTCTTATTTTTTTTACAAAATTTGCATGAGGGTGCTGTTAGTACACTAGGGGTCAATGGAGACATCCTGAGTTTCAAACCCACCTGTATTGTCAGTATATATATATATATATAGCCCTGTGCTAGCTGTTTTCACCATGAGTTTCAGGGTTTACTAGAAATTCACCCTTAGCAAAATAAAAAGAAAGTTGCAGCAATATTGTAAGCAATATTGCTGCAGACTAAAAATTTGCAGTAATGCGTTTGTAGGAGTTTGCAAGAAAAAAATTTATTGCCGCTAATTTGCAGTCATATTGTAGCAAATTTGAGGCAAATTTGCTGGGACTTTGCAGCAGGCACCTCTATTATCAGTATATTCCTATGCTGTTTTCCTTCTGAGTTTTGGGTCTTTATTCACTGCCTCTGTTGCTTTTGATAACTTAGGGTTTCACAAGTGTGAATTACAGCAGTGGGATAAGGAGTTTGCAAGAAAAAAATTATTGCCGCTAATTTGCAGTCATATTGTAGCAAATTTGAGGCAAATTTGCTGGGACTTTGCAGCAGGCACCTCTATTATCAGTATATTCCTATGCTGTTTTCCTTCTGAGTTTTGGGTCTTTATTCACTGCCTCTGTTGCTTTTGATAACTTAGGGTTTCACAAGTGTGAATTACAGCAGTGGGATAAGGAGTTTGCAAGAAAAAATTTATTGCCGCTAATTTGCAGTCATATTGTAGCAAATTTGTGGCAAATTTGCTGGGACTTTGCAGCAGGCAACTCTATTATCAGTATAGTCCTATGCTGTTTTCCTTCTGAGTTTTGGGTCTTTATTCACTGCCTCTGTTGCTTTTGATAACTTTGGGTTTCACAAGTGTGAATTACAGCAGTGGGATTAACAGCAGTCCCCGAAAACTTACAATAACTTGAAGCAGTTGCTCGAGATTGTTTTTCCATCATTTACAGATTTCATCTTCCGGCCAGTGGTTTTTGAAGGCCTACCACATGGGAATATATATATGAAACCAGTGGGAAAGAAATATCAAGGCCACACTGTGAATATTGCTTTCTGTATTTCCACCAAAGTTTTGAAACTGTCCATTTTAGATCTTAACCACCTTTTTCAAGGAAAGCAAAGACAATTTACAATTGCAACTAAGACCTCCCCCCCCTCTCTCTCTCTCTCTCTCTCTCTCTCTCTCTCTCATTATCTTTTTTACACGAATTATTTGTAGGTTATTTTATCATCAGTCTGTCTGTTTTGACATTTGCTATCAGGGTATTCCAGTGAGTCAAGTCAAAATTGGTTTGGATAATGCACTTATTACTGTAACAGCTTTACCTGTAAGCACACCTGGCCGTAATTTCACATGATATTCTAGGAAAGAGGGTTTCACACCTTATTCCAAGTGTAACCCTATATTTATCATATTTCATATTGATGACATGGGGATATGGCAGTGCCTTGTGTGTTGGGGGGAGTGCATGTGTATGTGCATTTGTGTGTGTGTGTGTGCATGTACATTATGTGTGTGTGTGTGTGTGTGTGTGTGTGTGTGTGTGTGTGTGTGTGTGTGTGTGCGTGCGTGCATGTGTGTGTGTGTGTGTGAGAGAGAGAGAGAGAGAGAGTCAGTAAGTCAGCTCTAGTAATTAAATGACTGAAAGAATTAACGTGTGTACATGCATGTGTTGGTTTGTGCGTCTTTCTGTGTGCATTCATCCAAGCATGATTCAGTCAGTCAATTACTTAAGTCAAGTTTGTGCACAGTGTACTTTTCTGGTAGTGTGTGTGTGTGTGTGTGTGTGTGCATGTGTGTGTGTGTGTGTGTGTGTGGCAGAAGCATGCATACACACTGTACTTGAATGCTATATTGTAGATTGTCATAGATTAAGGTATTATAGATATAGTAAGGTATAACTACAGTACAATGATATTGTCAAAAAACCTTGATCAGTAAAGTTACTCTTGCAGCACGTGTTAATTGAATTGTATATGACATTCACTGTCTCTAAAACCATTAATAAATAATCCCTTTCTGAGAAAACCCTACATGGATGCTATATCATTTCACATTGATTGTTATAATTGAAAAATCAATTAAACACTGAGACAATAAGCCTTGATGAGATATAATTGTGCTTCCTAGGGATATTTCAGTGATGTAATGTATTTCTTGTGATTCTTTCAGACCAACTCTCCAAGACACCAGCCACTTACTGCAGGCCCCCAGGGGAACCAGGGGTAAGTTAAGAGAGAGAGAGAGGAGGGGGGGGAGGGAGAGAGAGAGGGAGGCAGAGAGAGAGAGAGAGGGAGGCGGAGAGAGAGAGAGAGAGAGAGAGAGAGGGGGGAGAGAGAGAGAAGGAGGGATGGGAGAGAGGGGAGGCAGGGGAAGGAGAGAGAAAGAGAGACAGAGATAGGGAAGAGGGAGAGAGAGAGTGGGGTGGGAGAAAGAGATGGAGAAGAAGGGACGGAGAGAAGGAGGGAGAGAGAGCATGGGAGAGAGATAAAAACAGAGTAAGAGGGCAAGAGAACAATTCACTGAAGGGCAATATATTTATAGTTCTTGCATTATTTTGTTGACAAACTCAATTTCATGCAAGAGATTTTGACAGAATGAGGTATAATATTTATAAGAAAGATAATAATAATGATTCCTTTGGGACAATAAACCTACTACCATGTAATAAGGCTGATTATGAGAAAACAATGAAACATCCTGTGTAAAGTTAACAATGCCAGGTTATAAATCATCCCTGCAAACTTTTTTGGTGAATCCCGTCTTCTCGGAACCTTCCCATAAGTGCTTTCCAGGAAAGATGCGAATCTTTCAATGATTCATTTTGTTTATGCAACGCATTCCTGCTTTGTCAAATTTTCGTTAGATTTGTCGTCACAATTATTGTCAGGAAATTGAATGATGAGGCGACAGTTATATTGAGACGAGGAGAGGAGAACAAATATTCTGAGGATTTTAATCATATAAAATCGGGTGATTGCCTCCATGTAATCAGAATATATGGAAGCGCACAATTTTTATTGAAGGTTTACTTTATAAAAGAGCTCTTAATGTGGACAGATAGTCCAAGGAGAAAAAAACCTTTCTTTGAGGGGGGGGGGTTTATGAATAATTTTCTTTTACTGACAAAAACTACACTTAATTTTATTCATTAATCCATAATATCTATAAAGATCATTTAAAGAAAGTTAGTACAAATATGTGTGTGTGTGTGTGTGTGTGTGTGTCTGTCTGTGTGTGTGTGTGTGTGTGTGCGTGCTCACATACTAGTACATGCCTATGTGTGTGTAAATTTCCCAGCATAGGTACACTTAATAAATTTGGACAGGGGGCCTCTGGAATTCTCATTTTGATTTTTAGTAACCTTACATTTTTAAATATGATATGTATGCCTTCTAAAACCAGCAATATTTTGTGAACTATCCCACCTTGTACAACCCCAACCGCAACCCCTAGAAGCAGGGTGTGACATTTCTACTTTACCTGCATGATAGGATTTTATTTCCCTTGATAAAAGTAGTATATTCTTACCTCTTTGCCCACATCGTGTACATCTGAGATTTAAACAACTACAAAGTGTCAAGGAGTGCATCCTGAAGAAAAAAAATTGAAGTGAGAAGTTTTTGAAAACTTCAAAAGGTTGAAGTCAATAAGGTGTAATAGATACACGTAATTTTCTCACAAGATTCCTTTCTCGCCCGTCCTTGCAATATAAACATCACAAGAAAGTCGCCTTTGTCATAAATCATACTGCCTTTTATGCCTTTTTTTATACTAGTCATTTAAATGACCCGTCAGATCTTTGACAAGTATTTTGCATTCAAAAATTCTTTAGAAAAAGTGTTTGTTATTTCTGTTTTACAAATTTCAAAAGCTTTTCTGTTATGCACCACATCCAAAAGCCTTCACTGAATTACAATCTATAAACCCAATTTTGATAGCTAAGCTCCAAATTTCTGAGCCACTTTTGCGATGACGATGTAACGTAACATATGAATCACACTTGTAATGGTAAAATACACATTAAGAATTTTAAAAACTGGTTTATACATTGATTTTTTTCAGTATGTTTATATACATAGGATATATCTTGGTAATTTAGGAAGAATGTTTGCAATTCCCAGGATTTTTTTCCTTTCTGTAGAAAGGTTTAATGGGATTTATATGCCATTAATGTTCATGTTTAAAAACAACATTTGTAAAGATCAAAATATTACGTAAGAAAAAAATTAATGTTTATCTTTTACTGATGATTAAGCAGTGTTTGTGTGTACGCTATCTTTAAAAAAATGCAGCGCTAATTTGTAATACACATCTTTTATCTTAGAAAGTTTTTGCTCAAAGGTGCGTTTCCCCAGCCATTCCAACATACTTAAGATAGGACATTCCTCAACTGATTTATTCTTAGTTCATCTGTAATTAATTCTTTTTAATGTCCTTGTTTTACACGTAATGTATGACTCTTATTGCGTGTAGTTTCCAGCTCTGCTTTCATACTGTCAGATGTTTAAGTCTTTATTAACATAACAGCTTTTAATTAATATCTCCTATGACTTATCCACAGGCCCATTGCTAATTTAATTAGATAGAGTCATCAGAAAGCTTTTTTTAAATAGATTTATTATCACATAGACCATACGCAACAGGGGCAGCTCCAGAGCTCTTTTCTGAC